TTTAACATGACATGAATGATGGTTAATCAAAAGGAAAACAACCCACCAAAGAATTGATAACGACGTAAACCAATCATGATACCGTTCTTGGCAATCCCTTTGTATATAAAGTCACGGTCATTACAATTGGTCCAAGAGTTTTTCGGTACATCCGCAAATTTGACCGTCAAAACATTCTCATCGCCTAAGACCTTGTGAAGGTGTGTTCAAGAAGAGGTCCAGTTGAGCCAAAACATTCTCATCGCCTGTGATATTGAGCCAATGTGTAGTAGATAACTTGCAAAAGAATTGCTTCAAGAAGCATCTCTTGAATCAAATCTTTCTAAAACAAAGTACATATATGAAAACATGAAAGATAGTAGCGGAACGAACCTTGAATGTGTAACTACCGTCCAAAGCGAAATGACATTGATTGTAATGAGTCTTTCCACTATCCCATTCAAACGACTGGAGAAAAGAAAGCATGACAGATTCAATTCACCTTTAGAAACACAATCATGAGACATAAAGCACACTTGCTAAAACAAAAAAGCAAACAACCATACCAATCAGCGGTCTGTTTGGGAACAACAACGCCGGCCAAAGCGGTTCCAAACCGTTGCTTCATATTCAACCATAGGCAAGTCCTTCAATTATCTGAATTCATCAACAGTTGTAACATTACTCAGTTGTTTCCTGTATAACACCAAAAAATTGTAACTGTTACACAAAACCAATCACTTTAAATAGTTGGAAAGAGAAAGTCGAAAACTTGCAGCTCAAACATACCCTGAAATATAGCTAAGCAACAAAAACATCTTCTTAAATTCAAGCTCGGCTAAAGCTAAGAGCTGAGGACTATGCAGTTTAATAATTTTAGTGGGTGTTTTAACACAATTTTAATTAAAATATAATAAATTTTTAGACATTTTAATGAAAGGGGTTCTATGTATTGACACTTTAGACATTTTAATGAAAGGAGTCTTAATGAAATTAATATTAAAAAAAAATGATTTAAGACACTTTAAAGAGGTTAAGGTTAAGGATGCTCTTAGTTGTAGTTTTATTTCTTCTTGATAAAGATTGATGCATTGATTAAAACGAAAGGAAGAGATTAGTCAGCCCAAGAAAAATCCATTATGGAGAAAAATATTTGTTTTCTTCGTAAATTTTAAACGTAGTTGGATTTTGGTTAGGAGAGTTGTATATTATCTTACGATCTAAAAAAAAAGTCTCAAATATATAGGAGGAGATGCAAACACACAACTTTTAGTTTTTATTATTATCCTCCTAATCATATTTGGAGGTTCATTGAAACTCGTATGTGTATATAAACATATGTATATAAACTTGATTTTGATCTACGTTTAGCGTTTGCGTTTTTTCAGTACGTACCAACCATGTGTATATATTTGAAGATGGTTAGGGCTAACGCATCTAGGTCTCCACTGTAAAAACACATGACTCTCCTTAACGCATCTAGGTGATTTGGCAAACACATGACCGTTCTCGGCCGTTCGTGTGCTTGATTGTCCTACTCACACGTGGCGTGATGCTCCTAACATGACGGTGGGAAACTCAAATACGGCCAGACTCAACTTCTGAAGGTTTCACTGATTATCTCCGAAGAAAATATCGACATTTTGATTGGAAAAGACATAGAATGGAAGTTATCAAAGAGACGATGGAAATGCGTTAGGAATTTCTCATTTTTCTCATAGAAAATATTTCGAAACTTCATTCTTCGGATGATACCTACGAAGTTTGGTAAAGGAACCCAACTTCCTTCGTGTTGTTAAGCATATCCTGAGTCAAATTTTCAAAAAAAAACAATCTTGCATTCGTTGAGTAAACAAATTTTCGACGGATCTTTATAATATTGTGGAGGGAACAAAATAAAAATCAAACCCGATGAACTGTTTGCCTAAATACTCGGATTTAGTTGTAGTTTTATTTCTTGATAATGACTGATGCATTAATTAAACGAAAGCAAGAGACTAATCAGCCCAAGAAAAACCCCACACCTATTATAAGAGAAAAGTATTTGTTTTTTCGTAAATTTTAAGTGTGGATATATAGGAGAGTTGTACATAATCTTACGATGTATGTCTCTACAAAAAAATCCCAAATATATAGGAGAGGAGATGGAAACACACAACT